GTCTGGCCAGGAAGCCAGGCATTAGACACCTGCTTACAGTGAGTGCGGGAGTGGTCAGTGCTAGGAAGGAGGGGGATGGGAGCTGTGCAGGTAAGAGGGGACCACGCGTAACTCGGGGCTCAGGGAAGCCTGCCCCGAGGAGGTTCTGAAGTGAGAAGCTGGCTGGACCGGTTGGAAACCAGTGAGAAGGGCTGTGTGTCTGGAGTCCAAGGAGGAGGGCGGGAGGGGCTGGTGCCTTAGAGAACGTGCGTGTGATCAGGTCTGCTGTTGGGTCAGCTTTAGCGAAGAAGGGAGGAAGGGAGAGACTGGCGGATGAGTTGGGGCATGGGTTCAAGGTGGGGACCTGACTCTGCCTCTTGTGAACTCAGGTTTCTGTTGGTTTACTTAGTGGTGACGGAAACCAGCTGACACACCTTGAAAGACACTGAAAGAGCTGAGTGTCAGGTGATGGTTGAGGACTGTCATTTCCTCTGACCAGAGCACTGACAGCCTCTTCTTGGGTGCTTCCTCTTGATACCCAGGAACCGGAGAAACAGAATTTGTAGGGCTTTATGAAAATGGAATCATGGGGAAAAGAGGTATGTAGTTTTGTGAGATGTTTCAGTTGAGCTGGAGGGACGTTCCTGCCCCATCGTGTATTTCACGTTTGTTGGCCCTGGGGTAGTAGTGCATCCCCAAGATGGAAGGGTTTGTGCTTTCTTAGAGAAACCTTTGTGCACTGGCTCTCCTTTCTCTGACGACCAGAACCAAATTATACGTTTCAGCTCATTTTACACAAACTTAAATTTTAGTTGCTTGATGAGATTTGAGAGCCCCTCCACTCACCCGGATTACTTAGTTATGAAGCCTCTTTTAGGGATGGATTATATGCTCTCATGCCTAATCTCTTTTACTTCGTGTTAAATTTTGTGTTGGTTTCAGAAAACAATGCTTTCTGACCGTGTCCTCAAATTCTAGAGATGAATAATACTTGGAACCCATGGATTCCTTTAGGTCCATGGGACATTTTGAAAATCCTATAGATAAAAAAAACTTCAAGGCAGTAAACAGACCAAGATTTTAATCTAACAGGAATGGTTTTCCCCAAGTCTTTTCTGTCAGTTGCAGGAGTTCTGTGAAGACCTACTCTGTGTCCAGCCTGTGCCAGGTGCTTGAGGGACACAAACGAAGTGTCAGGTACTGTCCCTGTAGTCAAGAAGCTGCCATTTTAGTTGAGTAGAGCGAATCCCCATCATTGCAGTGGCTGACATCTGTTGACGAAGAAACCGAGGCTCCCTTCGTTAAGTGACTTGCCCGACGTCCTACAGCTGTAAAATCCAGGACAGGTCCTAATCTATTTGAATCCAAATCCCAAGCTCTTTCTGTTCCCCTCCTATGCCTAAAGGAATCCAAATCCAAGGTAGAATGGAAGTTAGCTGGGCCTGGAGAACAGGAAATTTTTTTTTTCTTTTTTAGTTCTATTTATGTTAACTTCCAATTTTTCGATTTCTGGGTTAGTAAAAAGAGCTTCTGCCTTTGGTGATGGTTCTGCTGAGGGATTTTCAAGTATTTGTTTGTTGGTTGGTTGGTTTGTTTCCGGGAGACACACATCTCGGTGTTCTTCTTATGAGAAGGTAACGATGTTGCACGGCATGAAAGAAACATGGTGACTAGATGTTAGCACCAGCACAGCTGCATTCCAGCTTTTATTTTCCTGTGAAACAAGTTCCATTTGTGTAGAATGGTGAAACAGCATGCTTTGCTGGAGGGAACGAATGCCCCGACATTGGGGAACAATTTTACATCAGTTTAATAAACGGTTGGGCTGCAATTGATAGAGCCTCTAAAATCATAGGGGCTAAACAAGGTGGAGTTTTACCTTTCACATAAAAATCGCGGAGACAGCCCAGGGTGGCTGAGGCACTCCATAGAGTCAGGACCCAACGTCTGTCTTGATACTTTTCTGGCCTTGACTCTGACCTCGAGGTCTAAGACACTTGTATTCGTGTTTCAGGCTGTAGATCCAGGGGTAGGGAGGAGGATGAAGGGGCAGAAGTGGGCCCCCGCACTTGCATCTTTGCGGGGGGCTGCGGGGGGCTGCCTCACCCCTACACCTGTACCACATAGGCCAGGAATGAGTGTCACGGTTACACCTAACTTCAAGTGGGATGCAGTCTCATTCCGGAAGGCCATATGCTTAGTTAAAAAATAAAGAAAAGGAGACTGGCTCTCAGGGGACAGCTGGCAGTCTGCCACCAAGGCCAGGGGTGGACCCTGGCCCTCCCAACCCCTTTCTCAAACATCTGCAGCCACTTAATGGACATTTGGTACACACTTGAGGCACCACTTCCAGCTAAAGTTTAAAAAAAAAAGGGGTTCATCACAATTTACAAACAAAGATGAAACCAAATACTTTAAAATCAATAATAGTCACGATTTCATCTTAGTGAGAGGGATGGTACTGTCTGCCATCTTTCACTGAAAACATCATTTCTGGGGCCACGACGGAGAGCTGGGGCTTCAGGTCAGCTTCACAGATGGTTTCTTTTCTTCCTCTTTCTTTTCGCTAAATTAGAAAAGCTAAAATTACCGTTAGAAGTAGCAGCAACTGATTGATGACTCTGTCTAGTAGTCCTGGTATTGCGGCCGTAGGCGGACAGAGAAATTGGGGCAATTTCTCAGTGAAAGCCGCTTCCAGGGTTTTGTCGGAACTGTGTCCACTTGGGAGCTTGAAGGCTCAGTGTTTCATCTTAGGACTGCCTCTTAGATTCCTCCCATCCTTTGATTCAATTTTAGTCTAAAAGGCACGTCTTTAAGTTCTTCTGCAGCCCTCGGATGTGGTTTTTAACTATGTGCCGTAAATGTCCTGTCTTTGGGATGAGAGGAGAAAACCACCAGGTGGAGCACAGATGGCCTGGATTCGAATACTTTTCAAAATCCTACTACCTGTGTAACTTTGGACAGATTATTTGAACTTTCCGTGCTTCGATTTCCTAAACAATAAAGTGGAGAGTGATAGTACCTGTGACTATAGTACGAGCCAAAACACACAATCTCCCTGCTCTGTCCGGGCACACGATTCACACTCAGTGCAGATGCGTCACAGTGATGGGTACTATTTTCAGGTATTTGTCAACTCTAGACCATCCGAGGCTTTCAGACCACGGTTCGGTCTTCCTGCGAAATGCTGGTTTCCTCTTCATTCTTCTCCCCAAAAGTCAGGGGCCTTCATCCCCGAAGTGGGGGTGGCTTCTGGACGTCTAAATTATTGGAGACGTGGTAGAGTGCCTTCAGAAGCAGAGAGACAGTCTTCACTTGCATTACAAGCATCATAAAATGTCTTTTTATCTTATTCGTCATCTCAAAAACCCGCGTGAGCCCCGTTGTAGACAGTGCGCTTTGGTGGGGAAAGCCGTCTTCTCGCTGCTGCCTGGTTCTCTGCCTGGCACACGGGGGGATGTGCTCAGATGCCTCCACTGGCATCTTCAATGCTAAACTGAGACGGAGGGCGTATCGACGGAGACCAGCTGGTCTTTGCAGATGACTTTGCAGAGGACTGTCACTGCTTTTCTGTGAGCAGCGTCACTTTTGCCGCATGCAGGGTCGGGGCCCCCTCAGTCCTGGCCTCCGTACAGCCTGCTTCACGAGATGCACAGGAAGCCAGCAAACCCGCCTTTCCCCTGTAGCGTGTGGTCTGCGGGGGGCGAATACAACAAGAAACTGAGAGCACGTCTCTCTGAAGGGCACACTCACTAGGACCCGGTGCCCACTCCGCCCTCAGCAGCTTTGTCCTAATTGTCAGTGGCACTCGGGCCTGTATCACATGGGTTTCTGTGACTCCCAGCATTCGTCGGATGAGGGATTTTGCTATTGGCATGTTCTGCTTCCTTTGTGAACACAGTGTTTGTAACTCATTTTGCAGGTAGTTTTAGAAGCTTCACGCCAGTAATGGGGCTTTTGCCCATTTTTCCTGCTTGTTTTGGTCTTTTTTCATTTAGTGACAAAATGAATTAAAGTGTTTTTTTTTTTTTTTTTTTCCTTTGTGTGCTTGTTCTGAAAAAAAATTGAGGTTTTCTTTGAAGGTGAGAAGAAACTGATGGCTTCATGTTGTCATCTGACCAGTGTTTAGAGCACACACTGTGCCCCGGGCCAGATGAGTTGCTGAGTCAATAAAACCCAATTTTCAGATATTCATCGCTGTGTTTCCTTTCCTCACTTTCCATTTTTGGGTGAAATCAGTGCACTCACAGAATGACTTGGCCTGGGACCTAGATTCATAGCTGTATTCACACGGAACCCTGCCCAGCATTTATGTTTATATTATACTGAGTTGTGCCATTTACGTGATTAGTTATGTCATCACTTTTAGGCTTAGGTGATCCACTTTTGTGATTTGGGCTATGACACAGCGAAATAGTAGAACAAAAATACAAACTTAACAATGAAAATACCTGTATGGAGACAGGTTCCAGACTGTTCACTGAATCCAGCAGAGGTAAACCGACTAACTGCTGTAACTACTAAATATAAAATAGGTGATGAGGATATACTGTACAGCACAGGGAATTATACCCATTTTCTTGTAATAACCGATAATGGAATGTAATCTGCGTAAGTACCGAATCACTCTGCTGTCTGCCTGAAGCTAACACGATACGATAAGTCAGCTATACTTCAAGAGAAAAAAAGCGTTACTGGGATTTCTGTGAAAATTATAATTGCTCGCATTGCAAATCTCTGAACACAATTGTTTTAACTCCGCTTTTCCTCTGAAGTCACCAGAGCTCCAGGGAGCACACTTTGGGAACCTTTCCCTGCTCTGGATGAGGGCACTTCTAGACCAGAAGTGGTGAATGGGGTATGGGTGGGAGGGGGCTGGCCCTGGGTGAGGTATAAAGAGAACAAAACCCAGAAACTGAAGAAATAACAGGTCTGGGCTTCTTGTTTGGGAGAGTTGGGGAATCAGGAATTTAAGCTGTGTCTCCTAAGTGTTTCTCTTTCTCCTTCCTCGTCCCTTACAGAGTAAAAGCCAGGGCTCCGTCTTTGTCCGGATCCATGCCCCATGGCAAGTGCTGGCCCGAGAGGCGGAATTCTTGAAGATCAAAGTTCCCACCAAGAAAGTATGAGCATGTTTCTTCTGGGTTTGGGGCCTCCCCAGGGCTGGCTGGATGTGTGAATAGCTTCGGGAACAGGGCCAGGTGGGACCTGGGTTCTGCGGAGTTGGAATCGCACTTGTCTCCCCGGGGACGCTGAGTTCGGGACAGTGGAGGGGACGAGGAAGAGATGGGAGGGGAGGTGCCGGGCTTGGGAGGTCGTGTCACCTCAGAGCACCGCCGGGACGTGCTCCATGAGAAGCTCACGTTGCCCTGGTCCAGCTCCTTGATTTCTCTGTTATAGCCCCCTTCCCCCTCCGTCCCAGCACGGCCAGGCATTTCCTTAGAGCGAGCGTAGCGATGAGAGCAGACTAGCGAGCCTTGCCGACTGGGCAGGCAGCCTGCGCGGCGAAGAGCGCCAGGCTTGCCGTGAAGACACCTCTTCTGGTTGTGACTTTGTCACTAGGTTTGGTGTGACCGTGGGTTTCTGTAAAATGAAAGGTTATTTCTCACTCGGGTTGATCAGAGTCACCTGGGGAAAGTGTCCACAGCGCTCATGCCTGGACCCCACCTGGGGCTTTGATTTAGTTGGCTGGTATGGAATGAGGCTTTGGCATCAGTATTGTGAAAAAGAAAAAAAATCCCCAGGAGGTTTTGATGCACATCTGAGTTGAGAGCCACACAGTCAGATGATTTTTGAGGTCCTTTTCAGCCATTGGAGTCTATGTATAAACTTAAAAATTCCCCAAGGAATTCCTGGGTGGCAGTTTCCTTGCATAAGAAAATCCAGCACATACCTCCAAAGATAAAAGAAATGTGTCCACAGATTCACTCTTCTTTTTTTTTCACTAGGTATTTTAGGACAAAGGGGTGGTTATTGACTTTGATTATTGAGGTGTCTCTAGAAAGGGCCCTGGAACATGTGATACTCTAGTTTAACCATAAATGATCTATAGTTGATCTGTCACACACACACACACACCACACACACACACACACACACACACACACACACACACACACACACACACACACACACACACACACACACGCACACACACACCAATAGTTTTACTTCCCAAGTGGTGACCTAGCTTTGCAGAGATCACGACTTCATCATTCTTACTGCCGTTACCATAAATGTTCACCATCCCCGTCATAAACAGAACTACGTATTTGCTGCTTTCTACACAACCACTATTACCACCCGCCTTCTCTCATCACCATCTCCACTATCAGTAGCATGGTTAGAGAGAGCAGAACCTTTGGATTAGCATCACTGGCTGTGTGTACACCATCTTTGCTACAGCAGATCTACTGTTCCCATCAAAAATCACTCATCAGATGTCGTCATGTGTGATGCTGTATCACGCGCCCCTTATTCAAAAAGGATGAACTCTGTGGGTTCTGTCCTTATAGATCTGTTAAGGTGGATAACACATCCATGGCAGGAGGACAAATGACTATTGAACAATGGACAAGCATGAGCACGAATATTAGCTACAGACATCTTGCCAGTAAAAGGTACATGTTTGGGGCCACACGCCTGAGTGTCTTCGTTTCACGGGGACCACGCTGTGACCTTCTCCCCTTCAGTTGCACTGCTCAGTTCTCCGTCTCCTGGTGTTTGACCCCTCACTCCCAACACCGCTGCCCTCAGGTGCAGGCACCGTCTTGGCTCTGGACCTCCGCCCCTCCTCTGCTGCTGGTGTCCCCATTTGATGGCCACATGACCCAAGTCAGCTGTGGATGGAGGCGTCTGCTTCCCTCTGGGGGTGTCCTCACTTAACCAAGCTTCCCCTTTTCTTTCTCCTGTCTTCCTTCTGCCTTCTATATATATATATATATATATATATATATTTCTTCTCCTTTCTCTGGCTTATCTGAATATCTAACGTGCTCTTAATCTCTTCGGCTTGTAACTTGCTTCCTGTGTTTTTATCTGTGCTGGCTGATCCTTGGAAAGAAGGTGAGCAAACATTACTGCCTCTGCTATTGCTTCTCTCCCCAGGACGGTCCTTTCTGCGGGAAATACAGAGGCTTAGAGGAAGTGTGCGCCCTTCTCCCCTCCGCTCTTTGTCCCTTCTCCCCCTTCGCCGCTCTT